TGTTTCAAAACCAATTTCACACTTAGATAAAAATTGCAATAGTACTAAAAATACTCATATACTTTTTACTCAGATGTATTAATATTTTATCTCATACTTTTGATCATTCTCTTTCACATATATTATACACATTTATATATTTATAATATATAACATAATGTATATACATGCTTACACATGCATTTATAATTTATATCCACTGTATAATCTACTCTGTAATTCAATGATAATTACATTATCATTGATAACAACAGAATTCTCCCTTTTTAAAAGAGTATTCCTTATTTTGGGTTTTTCTGCAATTTTCTCATGACTAGAAATAAGTTATGTTTGTGGATACAATACTACATAAGTACGTTATATCCTTTTCAGGATTGCACACCTTAGAGGCACATCGTGACCCTCAATGGTGGTACTAACTTTGAGTTTTCCATTCTCTCCACTGTAAAGTTACTACTCTTCTCCCCTGCAATTAATAAATCTGTAGCAAAATATTTTTTACTTTCTTTTTATTTCCATTTTAAACCATGACTCCTATTTTAACTACTATCCCTCTTTCTTGCACATAAGCCCAATCTCTCTAATGACATAATCACATCTTTAAAAAAATGAGTGTGTATTAGTCACTGTTTCGTTATCCCTAGTCCTGCCTCATACCACAATCCCCTTGGCTAAAAGCACCCTAGTCATCTAAATAATCAGCAACAGGCTAAATTTGGTCTTTGGGTTTGAGAAGAACCAGGCACCAGAATACTCTTCATCCCTGTATTCATCTGAGACCTCTCCAGTTATAATTAGCTCAGTTAATCCTCCCTGGCTAGCTACCATCTACCAAACAGGAATCACCAAAAGTCAAAAAAAGAGAATTTCAACAAATGGGAAAGTTGACAGGCCTCAACTATTTTGGTGACACAGGCACTCAAATGCCTTCCCCTGGAATATGAAAGTACCTCAATTTAAGAACATTAAGGGTCCTTTTACCTAATTTAGATAGATAATGGCCTATTAAAAAGTTTGAAGTTTCTCTAGTACTACAGTACAAGCATATGACATGGCTTTAGCTCGCTGAATGTCGTCAGTCCTTGGGCCATTTATAAATTTCAAATCATGCAGGGAGATCACCCCATCACCCTCAGAACTTTCAAAAGCAAAACCCCAGATACACTTTGACAAACCTGACAAAAAAATAATTAAATCTTCTTATGACCCCTCGTCCATCCAATTGTGACAAAGGAATCCCTTCTCATTTAGGTAGTACGCACATTCACAAGTGAGAGCCCTGCAACAGCCCCTAGGGTACAGAAAACTAGCAACTGGAGAAATAATTTCACAAGCAAGCAGAAGGTGACCTGAGGCTAGAATACGCATACTAGGGACCTTATGTACCAGGTCTTGTAAAAAAGTCTTCCTTTGAGTCCCTTAAGCACATTGCTAGATTTGGGAGAATATCTCAAGCTAAGTGTAGCAACCCCAAGTTCCAGGACATTTAAAAACACATGTACAGAGCACACAGGCATAACACCCAGATCTTCTGAACTGCAGGTGTCCAACATAAGAGGTACATGAGAAATCCCACTACATAACAGTGTACATATAAAGTGCTCAAAAATTTTTTTGCTGACTGGACTGAAACAAAACCAACTAGGTTATTTACAATACTGTTCAAGCATCTCCTGCCTCCCATCTACCTACCTTTTTTTTCCCCCAAACATAAGCTGCCACCCTGAACATCAAACCTGAAGTAGGAAAATAAACTGTCATATTTGTCTTGTTTCTGTTTATTTCTGTCGATGACATGTGGTTCTACTTATGGTGGCAATGCTATCTGAAAGGCCCCCATCAACTTATGAAAGAAAAGTAAAATTGACTGGCCATCTAATACATAACCAATACATTCACATAATCCATTTCAATTTATTAACCCTATGGCATAAGCATTAGTACCCAAAGTTTATATAAGTAGAAATTGAGGCTCAGAAAAAGTATGTGTCTAAGATCAACTGTTAGTAACAGGATTCAAGCCTAAATCCATACCTTTTTATTTTAACATTTATGTAATCTAAGAGGTGTCATAAAAAAAAATTACAACCAACAATGGAGGCTACCTACTGAAAATTACATAGAAAGTGCAGTTTCTCATTTGTCATTATGACAAAATCTTTTACAACATTCCCCACTTCATGAAACTACTATTTCCCCCAGAGATATAGTATTATTTTTGTCCCCAGGAAACAAATAGTCTGTTTGAAAAAATAAGTTGCTTAGATATGCTTTTAAAATAAGCAACAACTAAAGGTATTGGAAAGGACAAGGGTTTTAGACATTTCTATATGAATTTTTTTTTAAAGATTTATTTATTCATGCATACAAGAACCCGGGTACAGGCCAGATTCGTGGGTGGGTGAAAGGATTCACCAGAGACAGAGCAGGGAACAGAACAAGCAGACTGACTGAAATACACTGTCTTTGAGGGGAGCAGCAGGCGAGCAGCAGAGGTCTGCTGCGCTATGTGGGATTCTCGCAGGCCAGGATCAAACCTGCGCTGCAGAGGCTGCAGACAGCTTCACAGTGCTGTGCTCAACCACCTGCACCACCAGGGGAGGTCCTATATATATGAATTTTAATGCTCACTAGCTGCAAACTTTGGGTAAGACACTTAACTTTCCTCAACTGTGAGATTATGATGACAAGTATCCCCCCCAGCACTTGTGAAGCTTAAAAGAGACAACATATGAAAAACAGTCAGGAGCCTAATACTGGATCAATCTTTTCCCTATTAAATGATATGAGTTCAGTGTCAATGACCAGAAATATTAATGAGTGCTACAGCAAAGATCAAACAATTTGATTTGCTACAAAAACATTCAAAACCAAAATTCCTGACTTTTACACTGAAACCTGGTCTGTGGAAATAGCAAATCTTTGCCAACAAGGTTTATTAGCAGAATTAAATAGATACAGGGCTTTACACTTTTAGTACAAAATTTAAACAGTAGAAGCACCAACAAATTAAAATTTTCTGTGAGGGGAGGGGTCATCTTTTTGTGCAAACCTGCCAGTTTTAAAGGAAAACTACCATTTAAAGCAAACATAGATGGCAACTAAATGGAATGCGGTATTTTGGATTGAATCATGGGACAGTAGTCTGAATTAGTCTATAGTACAGTTAACAGTAATGTGCCTATAATCATTTCTTAGTTCTGACAATTATGCAGCTTTTTTTAAATAAAATTATTCCAAGATTAGAAAAACTTAATTTTTTATTCCAAGAGAAACTAACAACACAACAAACTAATTATAACAACTCTTAAATACTGCCATTTGATTTAGAATCTCCTGAAGACAGTTAATCATTAACAGGAATGGCTGTAATATCAAACAATACACACTATCTGTGCAGGCTACTCTAAAGTATAACTACAAGAAACATCTGGAGTTTAATAAAATCCTTAACTTTTAAAAAGACTTGTCCACTTTTCATTATCATATTCTTGCAAAATACCAGCTTTCTGGCAATTGTTTTGTTGTCACTATTAGAAAACCAGCAAATTTCTAAGTTATCTCTGCCTTTCTATTCTTTAAACTTTTTTTTTTTATAGAGGCATGTTTTTATTTATTTATTATTTATTTGTTTGTTTGTTTGTTTTTTGTTTATACATGCACTGGGTACAGTCAGAAGCACGGGAGGGTGAGAGAATTCACCAGAGCCAGAGCGGGGAGCAGAGCAGGCAGAAGGACCGAAGTACACTGCTGAGGGGAGCAGCGGGCGGCAGGAGAGGTCTGCTCGCCATGTGGGACCCTCCTCCGGTGGCCGGGGAGCAGCCGGGGATCTATCCGGCACCGCAGAGGCCGCGGGCAGCTTCGCAACCCAGCGCTCAACTGCTGCGCCACCGGGGAGGCCCTCTGCCTTTCTATTCTTGACTAAAGAGAACATAGGTAATACAACTCAACACATACAAAGTTTGAGAGTTTATATGCACATACATATAAAAGTCTAATGACAAGTGCCATATCTAGTTTAGTGCTTAAGTCAAGCATAAGTGTCTCATCGGTCTCCACTACAATGCGGGCAGTCAGATTCTTTGTAATCTGTCATACAAAACTCAAAAAAGAGTCAGTAAAGTAAGGTAAAACTTACTTCTGCATTTTTATCCCCAGGGTCACATGATGGCCATTACTGAAACAACTTTTTTTTTAAGTCCATAAAAGGGTTTTCTTGCATACCAGAAGGCAAATTCTGTGTACAAATTGATGACAGGGTAGTGTAAGGTAGCACCAATTTCAATGTGTACACTGTACACATACACATATACTCACTGTTACAGTTTAACTTACTGTGAGGCATTCCCTAATTCCTTTTAAATACATATGTAGAAATTAGGGACGATTTTCAAATTTCAAAGAAATCTTAATAATCATCCCCGATTTCAAAGAATAAAAATAAACAGCAATGCAGCAAAGTCATTTTTCCTGCCGAAATGACCTCCAGCTTCTACAAGCTACTCCCGGTTTCGCAATAAAAGAATCTGAGACTCAAACCACGTACACACAAACCCCGAGCAGAAGCCGAGAACACTAAAGCTTCGACCTACCACCCTGGCAAACCCCACCTGCCTTCCCTCAATCCTCCCTGTTCTCCTCCTGTCCATGCACACAGCACCTTGAAACCGAAAAGGAAAAGAGAACAGGAATTATCAACAGCCAAATTTCTGTCTCATCATCATTTACAGCCACTATCCTGAGAAGTCAAAGAGCTGCTAACCTGATTTCAGGGAGGGAGAAGTAAACCCAGAAGAGAACAGGGTATAGGTATCTGAAAGACCAACCCAGCTGCTCTTAGGCAGTGCAGATGTCAATTTAATTTAAAAAAAAAAAAAAAAAAAGGGAAGGGGGTTGCAAGTAGTATGAACATTTCCACTTCCAAACAACCCACCAACCGCTCGACTATCAGAACCCAAAGTTAGCTGAAGCAACCCAAGATATAAGAAGAAGCGTCTTACCTTGAACAAATCTTGACATTTTAGGGCTTTATTAAAGTACTCTATTTTTAATGTGTAGGGGAGTCACTCTATAGGGCAGGTCTCTCTTCCTCCCCTTCTTTAACAATCGAAGTGTTCTTTCTCCTATCTTTGGCCACTTAAGGGAGTATTTATTCAAAGCGATTAAAGCTCCCTTGAAGGGGGAAAAAAAAAAAACCCACCCTGGAAAAGCACCCCCACTTCCTAAAGACAGAAACTTGGTGCAAGTAGATCTGCTTGAACTCCTGCCTACACTGCGCTCAACACAGTAAGGGCCAGCAGAAGACTCCCGGAAAAGGTAAAAACCACACGAACTTAAATTTCATCAATGAAAGAGGCGGATCTACAGCGGCTATTTCACCGCCGCCCTCCTCCCCCCAGTCCCCACGCCCTCCGGGGCTGGACTGCAGCAAGCACTAATGGGCCGCACCCCCGGCTCCCCCTCCCGGGCGCTGCCGTCCAGTCTCCGGCCAGTCCTCCGGGGAACCCGGGTCTACCGCCGCCCAAACCAAATAGGGATGGAGGAGGAGAGAGAGGCCCACAAAGGGGGGCAATGAAACCCCTTTTACCAGTCCATAAATATTCTGAACTAGGAGGGGCTACGAACTGGTGCGCAGACCGGCTGGGGCCTTCCGGCCGAGAGTGGCAAAACCTGGCCGCGGCTTTTTCCCGAGAGGAGCCGAAGGCCACACCGCCCCTCCCCCGCAACGATCACTACAGAACCACCCTCCAGGCGTGGACCGTGGAAGACCAGAGTCCAAAGGGCAGGAGCTAGGGAGGGCCCGACCCTCACACTCATTCTAGTCCACCCGCCCGCGCTCTTCCCGACCCCAAATTCGGCCTCCGGGGCCACACGGCGGGTCCAGGAGATCAGCTCTGCACACCGCAGAAAGACAGACTAATGTTTGTCCAGAAGGTCGCGGGGAACCAGCCCGCCCCGCCCCAAACCGCCACCGAGACCCACCTTCCTCTCTTCCTTTAGCGGCTGGGAAATTGGGGGCGCTTATGTCTCCCCAGGAAGAAGGCTCACAGGCTGAAAGAACACCGCCTCTGAGTCACCCCTCTCTCCCCTTCTCCCTTCACACAAGCACACCTTGCACCCCTCCTCGCGGTCGCAGCCCAGCTGCTGATGCCCCTCCGCCCACCTGGCTGCTGGCTCCCGACACCCAAAACCCCCACTTTCTCCTAAACATGTCCCCTCCCCCTCCATTTGGAGCAGCCCCCCCTTAATGCGGAAATGTCCCCGCCGCGTAGACTGACAGGAGTAGCCGCCAGTCAGGAAACGACGCGGACGCGGGGTCGGGCCAATAAGACGCGCCGAGGTGGCAGGGGGCGGGGCCCTGCGGCCCGAGGGAGCGTGCGGAGGTGGGCGCGGAGCCAGACCGGGGGATCCCGCGCGTGGGAGCTGCTGTTGAGGCGGCGGCTCCGCGGGGCTGTCTTGCTAGTAAAACTTCCCAGTTTTCCACAGCTGCTTCCTCAAGGGAGAGAAAATGAAGCAGCAGTGGCTGTTTTTGCAGTCTGTAGAAGTGTGCCGATTTACCAGAGGTTGGAATAGATAAGTCAGACGCACAGAGCGCGCTCCCCACAGCAACTGTGCGTCTGACTTATCTGAGACCCCAGCTGACTTACCTGAGACCCCAGCTCTCCTCAGTGGCCACAAACTCTCCTCACCGTACCCGGCCTGGTAGGGTGAAGGTACACCTTTGAGGAGTGAGCAGTGAGCTGTGTGGGCCCCTCCTACAGGAGGTGGTATTGGGAGAGTGGAAGAAATGGTAACATTCCCCCGGAATCACCGCCTGCCCCCCCACCCCCGCCCCGGGGTCCTGCTCCCGTGGAGCTCGCTGCTGTGGTAGGTGTTCACTTTTCTGAGTGGAAATGACTCTGGTTACCCCTCAGGCGATGCCTACCTTGGAATAGACTCCTGAAGTCCACAAGGAAGGAGGATGTTTGCATCCTCTTGGCGGTGGCGTGAGGATGGGGAGAGGCCCAGGTGCCCGTCCAGCACGCGACAGAACCACTCCTGGTACTGCCACCCCCAGCCACCCCCGTGCGCGCCTCACACTTGACGCTGCCCCTTGGTGGCTCTGTCGGCGACGTCAGGACGTATGGCCGGGCAGCGCCTGTGCCACCTCTCGCGAACCAGGAGAGCGGTGGAGGCTTGGGCCAATGCTAATCGAACAAGGTAAAGTGAGAACTTCTAGGTGACTTTTTTTTTTTTTTAAATAAAAAAACTTTAATATTTTAGCGGGACTTATGCACTTGGAAATGGTGTAAGTGACGTCGAAACGCCCAGTGGTTCATTTGTTATACTAGAGAATGACAGGCCTTCTATTGTATTTCTTCTGAAACCCAAAAAGAGTCCACCCAGAAACCGCTCAGCTCTGAAACCAATTTCCCCAACTAAAACCGAAGAAGTGTCTAGATGTCTACATTTTAATCACCACAGTTGAAGGCTGAGCATCGTAATCAGAATCTCCACATCCTTGTGTACGGTAGAAAAGTTGTTTATTTAAATAACAGTATTTATCAATAAATAAACAGTATTTGTCAATCAGTGTTAACACCAAAATGAAATACCACCAGAAGATGTGGGTCCCATCGGGTTGTTTAGCTTGCAAAAGAAAAAGGTAATGGGTAATGAAGAGTCTAATAATACAAGGTTTTTGCAAGAATAGTCAGTTATTTTCTACCTTCACAGATTAAAGAAGAGGAAATGAGCTTTAGCGCATTTAGTAATACTGACATCTTGATTTATGAGTGATTAAATATTGAAATATGCTACAAAGGATGTTCTACCACTTGCTGCCTAAAGAAATCTCCAAAAACTACTAGTCTTCAATGGTTAAGTCTAAAACCACTACAAGTCTGGCTCTTATAGAAGAAATAGCATTCCGGAAGCTATATTCCCAAATAATCTCTTGTAAAATGAAATTTCTTCATATAGTGACTTAAATTTAGATTCTGAAATTCCGAATACTAGCTACTAGAAACAGTGGCACTTGGCATATCGCCTGGGAGACAGGGGGAGAAAGACCATCATTGCCATGGAACAGTTGCGAGTCTTCTTAGAAGGCAGTTGCGTATTTCCTTGTTAAGTTTCATACCTGAAAAATGGCTTTTTCTGGGTATCTTGCTATGTGTATTGAATCCCTTTTTTTCATTTATGAAACAAAGGCTAAATGGTTAAATTGCTTTCGGACTTCAAAGTACAAGAGAGGAACAAAATACCTCACTTTTGCATTTTACAGACAGCAGCTTCTGAACTTTACCAGCCCATGATCCAGCCTGGGCAAAGCAGAGTCTTTGCTTAAGTTGAGGTCCAAGGTTGGGGGAGGGAGTGAACCCAGAGATCAGGGTCCACCAACAGAACTTCTGTTGTCTGAAGAAAACCATTTTCTTACTTCTTCACATATGAACTATCCTATTTCAAGCAGCCAGTGAATTTCAACCAAATCAACATTTTGCCCCTAAACCGTTTTTCAACCAATAAAATTTAATTCTCTTTTTCCGCCCCTGGTTCCCAAAACCTGTATAACCTCATTTTAGTCGTCGAGGCAGTAAATTTGAGTTTATCTGCTACATCTTGCCAATTAATTAGTCTTAAAGCTGATTTCTCAAAGACCTGGTGTCATCTGATCTATGCTCTTGAGTAGAGAACCTCATTGCTAAATAGTAATAATACACCACTATGGAATTTTCCAAGGTGCTTGATGGTGAGCTCATTTGAAATCTATAACATGGATAGCCAGATTTATAGGATAAACCTTTGCAGAAACTTGGGGGAGGGTCTAAATCAGGATGAAAATGGGTTTTAGGAAAGAGTGTTGTAGAAATGAGCTGAAATGAGATGAATTGCAAACTAAAAAGAAACCCAGAAACCAGTTTTTTTCCTAGTACTACGTGCTACCATTCAAGGATGATGTAAATTGTAAATTTCTCATTCCTGCTTTCTAATTCTCCATAGAAACAGGAGAAAATTTAGTTTAATTTATTCAGTCCTTTGTCCCAGAGGATATAAGAACATCTCCATATCTTTGTCTTTTGATAGAAGCATTCCATTAACAACCCTATTTCTAAACATTCCTTTTGGTGTGTTTTTGGATGTAACAGTTGGCCATGTCTTATGAATAGTAAGCGCTCTACAAGTATATACTGAATGATAAGTTTAGTACCACTATTTTTTTTTAACTTGCAATATTAAACCCTATACTCTACTCCTTAAATGCTGTAAAGATTAAAAAAATTAATATGAATTTATAGGTAAAGAATTTTAAAGTTTCCATTATTTCCACCTAGAATGTATTGTTGGGCCAATGTATATAAATAGTAGCTGTAAATGCACTGTTCTGATGACTTTACAGTAAAATTTGCTGACTATCCAGGATGAGAATTATGCAATAAAAGGGGTTTAGAAATTACTAAAATATAAAATCTGTGTACACATCAGCAATGTGTGTCATCTTTTATTTTTTTCTTCTCAATCCTACCTCCATCCCCTGTATACAAGAAAATAAAGCTGGGCAATTTTGAAGAACATCTTAGAGACATAAATATTTCTGTTATGCCAAAGCGTTTAGCCAAGAGAGGAGGCAACAATTACATACTAGAAGGTTGCCCATACTCAATTTTGGCTCCCATCAGTACTCGCCTGAATCCTAGGCCACCCACATGAAAGAGGAAACAGGAGACTACTGTTAGTCAGAAGTTACTACTTCTGACTAGATCTAACAAAAGGGCATTTCACTTGAGTCAAAAGGTAACCAAACAGGGCTAACTGGAAAAAGATATCAAATAATATCTGTGAGACAGATTATTAATGAGTGATTAGTCTAAAAAACAAATGGGATTTCCAAATACTTGAGGAAGAGAAAGACTTCATTCTTTCTGTTGCAACACCCCGCTGTTAATCAGGAAGTTTGCTGAAACAAGTTGTGAATTTAAATTATGACATATCCTTTTGTTTTATTCATTGTATTTTAAATCACTTTGGAAGATTATGGACTTTTATTGAGTAGTAGATACTATTTCAAATAAAGATGCCTAATAAAACAGGTTTATTTCATATCATGGACAGTTACCTAAAAAATATGACAAATCATTAAAAGTCATCAGGTTCACAAGAATGCAGTTTAATAACAACATGCATTATCTTGTTGACATTTATCAATTATTCCCTTTGGTGTCTCCTTTGAACTTGCCTACAGGGCAGGTGTTTACTCTGTTGCCTCCTGTTTATCCTGTTCCGTGTGTTGCCCAGAGAGTGTTGGTGAGAAATGGTGATGTCCCTGATACTGTATTTCAGTCATGTGCCAAACTGCATCTCCAGCCCCCCGCCTCCTTCTTGAGTATAGGAGGCAGAGGAGTCATTTCCTTT